CTCAGAACTAAGACGAATGTAGAGAAGATACAGTCTTGACAACAAACGTGTAGTCTTCATTCTCTACATTCGTCTTAGTTCTGAGTGGGTCAAGACTGTATTTTCTCTACATTCGTCTTAGTTCTAAGTGGTGAGGACTACACGTTTGTTGTCAAGACTGTATTTTCTCTACATTCGCCTCAGTTCTGACTGGTGAGGACTACACGTTTGTTGTCAAGACTGTATCCACTCAGAACTAAGAAGAATATAGAGAAAATACAGTCTTGACAATACAAACAGTCTTGACAATGTAGAGAAATGTTTTTATTCTACTCACTTTCTCAAGTGCTTTGTTGGCTTGTTACTCTGCAGTTAGTTTGTTTACTACTCAACAGTGTGTGTAAAGTGCTTATAAAGTTTTATTTAAACGCTGTTTGCAGTATGTTTGATATTTTAATTTGTATTGCACATCTGACCCAGTACTTATAGTATTGGTTAAACAGAACGTTTTTGAGTTAGAATGAATTTACATAACAGTCACATTCTGAGGGCGTGGCATGGCCTAATGGTAGGGCACTCGACTCGCAATCTGTGGGTGGCTGGTTCGAATCCATCACCGAACATGCTTGCCCTTTCAGCCGTGGGGCGTTATAACGTTACGGCCAATCCCACCATTCATTGGTAAAAGAGTAGCTCAAAAATTTGCGGTGGGTGGTGTTGACTAGCTGCCTTCCATCTAGTCTTTTACTGCTAAATTAGGAACGGCTAGTGCAGGTAGCTCTCAAGTAACGTGCGTGAAATTAATAACAAACAAATAAATGTTGAAAATGGTCGACTCCACAGTACTAGGAACTTTTATAACTGCCACATTTGCCGATTCTAAGGGACTTTATTTTATTCTTGTACTGATCCTCCGGTAAGATATAAGTAAGTATATGGATATATAACGCTAACATCTGGGGTTCGATTCCCGTAGTGGACACAGCAGATAGCCCAATGTGGCTTTGCTCTAAAAAACAAATATTTGTGTACACAGCGTTTCACCAGGTTTACCTGACATCGTCAGGTGGGATACAAGAACTGTGTGTAAAATAAGCAAACGATTTACTATGTACAACTGATAAAATCTTGTGTGAATTTTAAAAACATAGTTATTTCTAATATTTAAATATTTTTATACATTTGTGTGGAAAAAACAGAAGTTATTATATGATCAGTTTGTTACAAACAATATTAAAGTCCAGTTAAATGTAGATTTTGATGTTCCCTACGTGTTGTTTTCCGGCATGTTCATTGATTTTATTGATAGCTTTACTCTAAATATGTTATTTAAAATATTGTGTTTTTTTAGGTAAAAGAATTATTCTAAATATAATGTTCATTTAACTTAAATATGGTGTATTTTTATACATTTGAGTTTTAATTGTCTTTTATTTCTTATTTCCGGACTTTCAACGCTAAGCTCCGGGGTTCGATTCCTGCGGTGGACAGTGTGCAGATAACCAGTTGTGTGGCTTTGCACCACTTAAACAACAACAACAAACAACAACACTTTTAGTAAACTTGTGGTTTTTATTTCAAATTTGTTTTAAGGCTAGGAGCAGTTGTAGTGCCCTCTATATTATTTTGATGGAAACAGAATAAGATAAAATAGGCGCCTCTATAATATTTGATATCTATATGTATATACATTCCGTTGTATTTTTTTATTACAACTTTGATATGTTCCGAGCTTCTTTGTTTTAACGCAACGGCACAGCTACGCAGTATCTGTGCGGGGATTTAACCGAGAATTTTAGCATTATAGCTTCTCAAGCTCACCACTGAATCAGAGAGACACATTCAGAGCTCAGAAATTGGTTTTATTTTTATGGGTCTTGTAATTATTCTGTACTTTTTATGATAGCTTGTTTAATCGATAAATTTATTTTCATTCGTATTTGCACGAGTTTCAGGTATATAACTGAGAGACAGTTCATGTTATCTGTGCCATGTTTCACGTAAACATCAGTTTTCAGTTAGTCAAGAACCCCTGAAGTCACGAGAAGTTACAGATAGTGTTAAGGAGAATCAGTAAACTGAGGGGAACTGCTGTTTCGATTCATCAGGGAGAAGGAACTTCGCACGAGTCTGACGAAATTTTCTATGTTTTCTCGATGGAAGCTCAGACCTGTGGTTTAGAAGTTTGTTGTCTTGATACCTGGAATCAGTATGAAGCAAAGAAAAACTAAACTTAGCTTGAATCGAAACGAGACTAAAATACGGGTATGCTATTTCATCTTAAATGACTTGAGCATAGTTTTATTTCAAATCTAACATCATTCATAATTCACTGTTGTTAAATGTATTTGAAATCAACATCTTGTGTTTCCCGAGTTTTATCTTTAAATATCTGATCATTTAAGTTTTCAAACAAATTATTATCAAGCTCTCTATGTGACTTTTTTTTGCGCTACAGTTTGTTTGAGACCCACCCGGATGTCCAGGAAGTCTTCTTGCCTTTCAAAGGACTGTCCCAGCAAGGAACTTAAGGCGCATGCGCTTAGTGATGGGGGGTTCGTTCAAAAAAGTAATAGCACGCTTGAACGAGGAAAACGGACATGGCCCTGAAAAGGAAAGTACCAACAGAAATACATTAACCCCATATCAAACCAGCC